AAAAAAAAGAAGCTATTCTTAAATCCTTAATTTGGGGCAGTCTTTAGGGTTTGTTAGAGAATGCTTAGGGAGAACAGAAAAAACAAGAAAGCACCTAAAAGGTGTAAGGATCTTTTCAGATGACCAAATAAACCAAATAGACCTTTACATTGATTATTAAACACAAGTTATGTCTTTAAACTCTGTGTCTTGCTACTTTTCTTGGCATAACAATATACAGTGATTATTTTATTTTGTTACTTGAGTAACAAAAGTGCTCCAATTCTTTTAACCCCCCTGAGACTGCAGGGCTGGTGCTGTTTGGTAGCCACATTCTTTTCCATCCGAGAGGCTCCTTGTACTGAGTGTGGTTAGCTCGGGTCACTTTTCAATACTCCTTGTTCCAAGTTGCTACCCATGTTTAAAAAATATTTTACTTTTAAAATAAATTGCTTAGATTATTTCCTTCACCAGAGTGTAAAATTATAAGCAACTAAATTTGAATGGGCTATCAATTCTATATAGTCTCTAACAGTGATATTTAATAGTTTTGGAAGTAGCAGAGTGTTTTTTTGTTTAATTTTCTCAGTATTTATAAACCTGTAAAAATCAGTTGTAAAGCCTGCCTTTTTTCAAAACTCTGTGAATTGGACATTTCAAAACACAAAGGCTAAAAGATTATGCTCCAAAGGATTATGCTCCAAAGGATTTTATAAATAGGAAGGTCATACTTGGAAAGACTATATTTCATCAGCACAGACTCACCTTCTAAGTTTGGTTTCCTTGAAGAGCCTTTTACTGTTTCTGTGTCTCCATGTTTCTATGTGCAGATGAGCTGTAATTCTTACAGCTGCTCTACTTAAGATCTCTGTGTAAACTTCAGTCACTTGGTGAACTTGTGTCTTCATATTAACTCATTGTATATTGTGGACATAATATTACTGAATCTAAGTTTGGAGATCTTTTAGTGGTTATAGGGAAGGTATCTTGTTATATGAGGAATCATCTTAGTTAAATGGAGTGGAAACAAGTTTATAGTTCCTTCCTCTTCTTTCTGTCCATGAGATGCCTAAGACTAAACTGAATATAGGAAACGAATCTTTGCATCAAAAATCCTGCTTACATACTCCTGGAATAGTTCATTTTCTACTCAACTCTAAGGAAAACCAATCTACTCTAAAGTAGGATGTTCTGGTTCACAGGCGTTCTGATCTGAATTCCTAGATGGTCCAAAGAGAAAATGCTGTGGTGTCTGAATTGATTTGGGCCGTCATAGAAAAGGTTTGTCCCTGGGCAAAAAATGTAGATTTCGGGGCACCCTTTGTAAACTCCATTTTGAACTGAAATTTTAAACATACCCTGGGCTGGCTTTGAAAAAACCTAACTTGTTTTGTTATAAACAAATTCTTTTTAAGGAAGATCTGGGATTGCTGTTGGTGGACTTCTTAAAACCACCATGGTTTCATATTTTCACTTTCAGAACTAGAAAAGAAGTAAAACACTCATTTTAAAAGAAAGTAATAAACTGCCTACCTACAAAAAGATTGTTCTTAGTTAAGGACCTAATCATTTTTTGGAGTACCAGAAGGTTTTTATTTTTTTTTAATTTGAATGAGAAACAATGACTGCAGTGGGAAATATCCTACTTTTCTGTGACAGGGGAGGTTGGGACAGGTGCTAACAAAAGAGGAACTTTTCATCTTACTTGATATGAACATTCACGTAATTGCCACTTTTCTAGTGCCAGTTGCTGTCAGCTGCTGTCCCTCAGTTTTATCTGCTTTGTCTCTGCTACCTTCTCTGTTCATTGACTCTTCTTACCCCAGTTTGGGAAACAGAGCATTGTGAACATACCAACAATTGTTTCGAACTTCAGAGAGTGGGAGACAGGCATACAACTTAAGGATTTATTACCAGGAAGTATGACTTCAAGGAAAAACCTAACCAAAAGGTATCTTTTGAAGAAAGGTATCAGTTTCTAGGGTTATACTCTGTCTCTTAAATCTAGATATTCTTCAGGGTTAGCTGTGTAACTCTTGTCTGCACAGTGTATTTGTTCTCCGTTGGCCCACAGCACAACTGATACCTCTCTACTCATCACTGCTAGCTCTGTACCTCTCTCAATTCTTCTCACAAACTTAACCCAGACTTTCTAGTTGCCTCCCATATTTATGCCTAAGTCACTTTCATCCATCTGATTTATTGCACCATTATCTCTCCCTGACCTTCCTACTCACCAGGCCATTTCTCTGTACTACCTGCCATGGTTAATGTAGCTAATGGCATCTCCACCTTCATAGTTATGAAAAATAAAAATCTAAGAATCGTCTTTTGCTGTTGCTGTCCTTCCTGTACTAGCCAAATCCTTAGTTACCAAGTATTCTTTTTCCACACTGTGGTACTAAGTTCTCTCCTTTTCTTTCTGTTTCTGCTGCCTTGATTTTCATTTTTTACTTTTTGGCGCTAGGCTCTGGCTTAGGCTTTCTTCATGTGCTGTGGGGTGTTTCGAGTTTTTTTGAAATTTTACTTGCAACCACTCTGTGAAGTAGGTTGCATTATCTGTTTTTTAAAATATCATATTTATGGAGTAGGTGCAAAGAAGTTAATTAACTTGCTGTTCTAACATCAAGGAAATGGTGAATCAGGTTATTTGATGTTGGGTGACATGCAATCCCAATCTCTTTCCACTGAGAGCTCTTTCACCCAACATAGAAGGTCCTCTCTGTTTTATATCCACCCACGCACCTTCCTGTGTTTTGTACTTTCTCTCTGGGGTATCTTATGCTAGCCATATGTAAACATTCCTGTTCCTGTGAGCTGGTCACCTCTAAGCCTCTGCCCTCACTTGGTTCTCAGCTTGTCTTTCTCAACTCTTGTCGATCCAGCTCCATTTCCTCAAGTTATATCTATATAGTCTCCTTCACTGCTACCCCACTGACACTACCACCGTCACACTATACCATCATCACCTCCAGGAAAGTGTTACAAATATTGTTGGGTTAAAGTTACTATTTTGTTTTATATTCCCAGCTAGAATGTGATCCCTTTGAGGGGAGTGACTCCTACTCATTTTAAAGTTTTATTAGTCTTAACTGTAGTTTGGAGCTAATAAAGGTTTTCTCTCTTTCTAAGAAGATGCATGCCATACTTTATACTCATTCTGAAGGGAACTGTAACTATAAACTTGGGAAATTGTTTGGCACATGCCTGGCTTATTTGTATATTTACATACATTAAGCATTTTTTGAAGGCTTATTAGTGCTAGACACTGTACCAGGTATTTGAGATAGCGGGAAAGACCCTGGAGAGGGGAGAGATTGGAATGAGGCAAACATTTTTCTGTAGGGTCAGGGAGAAAATGTACCTGCTTGAACAGGTGGTATGAATTGGGATTAGGAAAAATTTTAATGAAATAGACCTAACTCTCAGAGAATGGTTTTGATATTGGTCTCTTAGCAGAGTGCTTGCCACTTAGTAGGAAGTCAGTAAATATTTATTTAAGGAATGAATGAAGAACCAATTAATTTGCCTGTTAATGTAATATAAAATCTAAATTTAGGATGTTGCGATATAATGTTTTTTTCTGTTGTACTGACAGATATTTAAACTTGTAGCCATCAAGGTAAAATCCAGAAGCCCAAATTATTCATGGTAGTCTGACGAAATTCTTTCTCTGAGAAGACCTGTTATTGATGTCAGATCCGTTTGCCGTTATATGTTAGAGTAGATCTGTATATGATGAATGAATGCTTCCTGTTGTAATTTTTTAAAACTTGATTAAAACTCCCTTAATACTTTGTGTGTTGATGAATTATCTGTCAAAAGAGGCTCCTTAATATATCTTACAAGATGTTTGTGCACAGTGGTCCCGTGTCGCTTTATGTGCTGCCCGCCCTCCTGTGTACCTCGCCCTTACCCCTCTCCCCGCACCTTTTTGTTTTACAGTATCTCTTGCTCCTCCTCCTCCCTCCATCCTACAGGTAACTCCTCAGTTACCTTTAATGGGATTTGTGGCCAGAGTCCAAGAAAATAGTAAGTTTATGTCTTCTTTATGCTGTAGACCAGATTATAGGCATAAAATGTCATTTATATGTGATTGGCTAAATATTCATTCTGTGATACTTCAAGTATTTGAATATTATGAACAAGCCGCTGTATGAGCAGCTAGTAGGGATGATGAAATAATTAAGATGAAATTCTCTACTTTCAAATAACTTAAAATCTGGTAGTGAAGAGAAGAAAACAGGAAAGAAGGCACATGTAAGGAAAGAAAGATCACATCTGAGGACGTGCTCTTTAATCACCAGCCATCCCATGTTTTTCTCTGTGATGCTCAAACAAGTAGTAGCCTAATTTCTTATCACTGGAATTTTAGGGCTTTGTGGCTGTCCTGAGAATCTTCTTCTGGTTCTGTGATTGCAGGTATAAAAATGTCTCTGCCATATAGGTCCCAGGGGATCAAATTGCCTCTCTGTTTCCCAAGAGGCCTCAGAGATTGGCAATGAATTAACATTGGCCTGTGGTCTGGTGTTGAGCCATGCAGGATCGCATAACTAATTTTACTGACAAATTAAGTCTTCTCCTAGGGAAGTATTAAGGAAGCTCAGGAGATTGATGTCTGCAAAACAGGAGGCCTGTGTCAACATTCAGTGACAAGTTGCTGTTACAGAGACCAGTGAACATAGTCTGTATGGTAGATGACTTCTCTTGTGAGCAGTCTACATGAGGAACAATATCATAATCATAAGGTTGCTTAATGGGCATGGAATCTGAACAAGGGGAATTACATTAATGAAAGATGTAGTGTTGTCAGGCTGAAGTGGCCCATTCATGTCTCATAACAGGGATGGATGGCCTCACCAGTGGGATAGGAATACGTGCACTCTGTTGCTTACGACTCTTGCTCCTTTGGACATGGGCATTGCTGACACTAGAATGTAAGCTCTGTGAGAGCAGGGATTTTTGCCTGTTTTGTTCATGGGCTTTTTCCCCAGCACTTAGGAAAGCATCTGACACAGTAGATACTTTTAGTCCCTCCTTTTTTGTGCTTCCCTAGCTAACTAAATGCCCCCTTTTTATCAACACCTTTATTGTATTTTAACTAATTATAATCCAGTCTTGCTGGACTAAGTGCTCAGTCTTTCTTCCAGGTGCCTTTGCACCTCTACTTGCTAATTTCTGAAAATAGCCTATGTTATTACCACAGTGTGATTGCCTTTCGGGTTATCTTTTCTCATTTCTTTCCATAGTCATATACATTTCTCACCTACAAAATATATGAAAATAAGAAACTTTGTGTATGAGGTGTGCTGTGGTTGATTTTAAAGGCACAGTAGGACTTATACATTCAAATGAACATTGTACTCAAAACATTCACCTTGGAAAGATATATACCTATCTTTTTGGATTATCATCATAGCTTTCAAATACATTATTTTGAAGGTGCTCTGTGGTAACAGATAATCACTCTGTATTAAGGTTGCTGTTTGGAAGAAGTCTGGAATTATCTGGAACCAGTTATACTGCGCTAAGTAGGGTAGCTATGATCCTATAAACCCTTCTATGGCTCCCCAAGGCTCTTTGGATGGAGTTCAGACTTGCAAGGCCCTTCCTGCTTAGCCCTCTTCAACCTCCTCATGCCTCTTTTTGCTGAACTTTGGTCAGTTCTTTGAAGGGGCCCTGCTTTCTTACCTTTGCATTTGTTTTTTTCTTTACATCTGACTTGAAATAGCCACCTCCACTCCATCCCACTCCCTAGCCATTAACTCTTACTCATCTTTCAGGTTTCAGAAACCCATGTAAGAGGGTTGGTCTGCTGTATTTTCCATAATGATTTAAAGCACTTGCTGCCCTTAATTATAAACAAAAGTTTGGTTTTCCATGTCTCCAAGACTTTTGCCCACTGCTCTATTCCCAGTGCTGAGCATAATACCTGGCCATAGTAGGCTTCCAGTTGATGTTCGTTGAGTGAATAATGAAACATTACTTTAAAGTTAGTGTATTTATCTCATCCCATAGTACTGTAAGCTTTTAAGATAATAAACATTGGAGTTTCCATTTCTGCTCTTCCACTTCTGTAGGCTTCTTCCAAGATAATCTTGGAAAGCCAGTTTTCACAGCCATAAATTGAGTATTAAAAATACCACTTCCCAAGGTAAAGATTAAATGAAATAATGTAAATTACTAGCAGGATAATTGGAATATTTTAAGTAAAAAATGGCAGCTTTTATTAGTCTTATTAAACTGGCTGTCAGGCAGATATTAGAGAAGGTGAAATGAGCAGTGGCAGCATCTTAGAGTAATTTGGTAATGTAATTTCTCAAGGTGATTGTTTTGAAAGACAGAGTTCTTTTGGATGAATGTTTTTGTGGAATTGGTTAAAGACAATCCCTTTGCCTTATAAATGCAAATAGGATATATTGTTGACTCTTACCCCAACCATATTGAATTTGTTTTAAAGTATATGTTAACATCAGATAGCTATATGCTTTGTTTACTAAAAAACCCCATCAGGACTAAAAGACGTATTTTTAATGGGTAAAGTTTTGAAGTGCATAAGGTGGATAGGTTGATAAGTAGAGTGGCCCTGCAGATGGGAAGAAAATTGGAATTAGGGCAAAGCATGAAGTTGATATGGATAATCTCACCAGGCATCAGTTGTCTTTGAAAATCAGTTGATTTAATCAGTAAGTTTAGATAAAAAATAGAAAGTAAGCAGATTGCTCAGAGAATTTCACGGAAACAATACTGGTACCTCATAAATAAGAATTTGTGCTCTTCATTAAAATTGGACAGTGGATCAGTGCTGCTTTTTAAATTCAGTTTATTTTGTTGAGCTGTGTTCAAGTATGTACCAAGCATTGTAAAAGCTTTGAGTTCCTGAGTTTGGAGGTAATATTTTGGACATTACTATATGTTGATATCTAAGCCGCGGAAGCAGATCTCAGTGAAACCTTTACAATATTTTAAATCATTCTTGGATATTTACCTTGAAGAATTCTGCATCGTAAATTAGTCTGAATTAGTTGATATTCTGTATATGAAAAACCAAAACCAAACAAACACAAACATCTTCATGGATGAAGTTACCCAAAATTGTTTGTGATTTCTGCCTTGCTAATTTGGTAAGATGCTATTTTTTAAAAAATTCATTGAGAAAAAGCAGATTATTAAAATTTCACTCTTCACTGGACTCATTCTAATTTTTTATAAACTAAATATGGTTATACATATCCAAAGTGTTAACATTTCTAATGACCACTCCTTGTTGGATATCATATAAGGCCAAACTATATTGTATTAGCATAAATAGGTTCCAGAGGCTCAGTTAATAATTGTTTTGGCTAAACTTTATTCAGCATCTCTAAGCACTAACCTGTGGGGAGGAGAACGGCATGCTTGGAGATTGGAAACATAGTTGGTGGGGGAAGTCTCTTGCACACTCAGGTTTTGAAAGATTATTTTCAAGTCTAGGTTTATGAACGTAGAAGCTTAGCTTAGATAAGAAGTATAGAACTTTGCATTAGGTGTAGTTTGTTATCAGCTTGGTACATTCTTAGTTTCAGATACACCACCCCCACCCCCACCTGCGGAAGAACCCGTCTTTGATGAATCCCCCCCTCCGCCTCCTCCCCCAGAAGATTACGAAGAGGAGGAGGCAGCCGTGGTTGAGTACAGTGACCCTTACGCGGAAGAGGACCCGCCGTGGGCGCCAAGGTCTTACTTGGAAAAGGGTAAGTTTCAGAGGGCTGCTGGAGGGATGGGAAGAAAGCTACACGTGGACGTGAAATTCACTGGTACTGAAGAAAATTGTTTTGTTTTTTTACTGGTAAGCAAAATTTTGCTTGTATTACATGTATATTCTTATTTAATTTACAAGTTTTAAGGTTTTGAAAGTCATGCTAGTAAAATTCTGTGACTATTTTGTTAATCCTCACCCAAGGATACTTTTTCCATTGATTTATTTTTAGGGAGAATGAAAGGGAGGGAGGAAGGGGAAAGAGAGGGAGAGAGAGAGAAAGAGAGAGAGAAAGAAGGAAAGAAACACTGATGTGAGAGAGAGACACCAATCAGTTGCCTCCCGCATGTGCCCTGACTGGGGCCAGAAATCGAACCCTCAACCCTTTGGTGCGCGGGCCGATACATAACCACTGAGCCACATCGGCTAGGGCTATTTGATTTTTTTATTGATGGTATGTGTTGTTCCCATTGAACATGCTCTTTATGAATGGTTTCTGTAAGGCAAAAATTAAAAAAGGGTTTTTCTAGAATGACTCAGGAAGAGGATGATTTTTCCAAACGATTAGTTATTCCTGCCCCCATGGTTTATAAAGCATTCTTCGTGGCATCTTATATCAGATATTTCAGTTTAAGTATCTCCATATGAAACTTCCTTCCAAAGAATAATGGTTTCTCAGTTTCTTTACAAGGTAGTGTTGGGCATTTCTTTTATTAAAAAGTTTCTTTGAATATATTAGCTAACCATGCCATGGTACTTTTGGGACCAAGCTTCAAAATCTTCTCAGTACTAATCAGCTCAGAAAAAAAAGTGTGCTGTCTTGCACAGAGTTTTCTATTAAGGAAATTAAAGCTATTCACTGGGTCTGAAAACTGACCACACATTTCAATCATCTGGGGAACTTACATTAAGAAATGGTAGACTTCCATTTCTAGTCAAAATAGAGCAACAGTAATCAGATTTACCCTCTCTCCTAAAACAGGAATCCAGAAAAAAATATTAAAAATAAAGGTTTTGAGACACTAGACAACAGTCATTGGTGGAATATGACCCAGAGAGAAGGAACTCAAGGTGAGCCTGTGATTGTCCTGGATTGCTACCCAGAGGCATTTTCCAGGCCATAGCGCGAGGAGGTGGAACCCAGAGGCTGTGTGTTTCATTGCCTAGAGAAGATAGATGTCAGAGTTTTTGGAGGATACAGAGAAGAGGTAGTCACACAAGGACAGAGTTCTGGAGATCTCCAGAAGGGTCCCCTTGAGTCTTTGACTGAGTACTGATTTGTACATGTGTGTGAAGAAACTACCTGATATTGGAGAAAGAAAACCAGAAAGGAGTAAGCAGAAAAATTACTGGAAATGACACAGGCCTGGAAATAGTTCATGTTCCCAAACCAGTTCAGAGTAGAAAGACTTGTCATACACAAGGCATTGAGAAGAGGCCTCAAAAGTCTGTCTCCTTAGGCCCCATAATATCAGTGGGAGTGGATAATCAACATTCACCCCTGGAGTTGATGGAGTCTTACCCTCCTTCCTGTGCAATCCTGGGCCTCTGAAGGGAAACCTCCATTCCAGTCACCCAGAAGACAGCTCTAGTAAGATAGTGAAAATATCTTACATGAGCTCCAGTGGTCACCATTCTTCCTCCTGCCCGTTGGTATCTCTGGACCCAGAAAACAAGTTGGGACCCTCAGTTTCCCACAGGCACTTGCAGTTACCCCTGGACAATTCCTTTGGCAGTCATCACTCCCTGAAAACTCATTGTACATTAAATCATCTTGTTTTACTGTTGTCTCTCAAGCCCACTAGACCCATGTGAGTGGGGATGGGGTCCTTGTCAGGTTTGGTATGCTTTTCATTTCCATTGCTCAAGTACCTAGAATAATGCAGGAGCTTAATAAATGTTAGGTGGATTGGGGGGG